CACTATTGGACACAACATGTGTCCGACGCTCCTCCGATACGTATCGGATACGCCAACGACGTGTATGATTAAACAAATAATAAAAATAAATCAGGCACGTGTCTAAAATATTTTATGAAAATTTTTTAAAATATAATTTATCATATCTCAGATTTTTATTTAGTAAAAAAATAAAAATTAAATTTCTTTTTTCTTTTCCAGAGTCCCAAATCAATCGCCCACACTCAATATCTCATTCCCTAAATATTCTCATTTTCATTTCTCTTTAGTAGGTTGCGGCTATGGTTTCACAATAATGCTCGATGTCATATGAATATCGATGTCTAATGTCATCACAACATCTGCATTTCAAAATTATTTCATCATCAAAGTTTGACGTTGTTTTGACATTGACACTCGATGCCGACAATTTTTACACCCACATTCACTCCACCATGCATTCTCGACATCTCATCTTTGTCTAATGTCATTTGAACATCGACAACTAACGTCATCTTGAGGTCGATGACGAGCTCTGTCTTGGCATCAATGTCCGATGCCTATTACACAACATGATGGCCGACCGTCGAGAGCATTATTGTCTCCCCTCTTGATGCCTAACACGACATCGATGTCTAACTCTTGACATCCTAATTATAAGCATAAATCTTAGTTGAATTACTTATTATTTCTCAATTATTGTTAATATTTTGCTTATTCAATTTTTATATTTAAAATATAAAAATTATAATACCATGTTCAACCCATGTTCATGTCATATATTTTCAATAATTGATGTGTCTTGCATCCGTGTCGTGCGTATTTGTTTCATCGTGTCCATGTTTATGCATCATAGAATCTTATTAATGACTTGATTGTCCAAAGTTACAAATCTCCACTAGATCTATTACTACTAAAATTACACTCCATGTACTCAATTTTAGATCCACTCAAATGAAAACTTTTAGACTCTAAGTTTGACCTCCATAATTCAAGTTTACCTTCAACTCCCTCTATAGTTTTATCAACAAGAAGAATATCATGAGCAAAAAGAAACCTCTTGTAAATGTTTAGTGAGAACATCCATGACTAAAGCAAATAGATATGGGTTTAAGGCTGATCATTGATGTAATCCAACTGAAATAGGAAAATACTTGGTCAAAACACCTTGTGTTTGAACACTAGTAACAACTCCTATATGCATATCCGTAATGACTTTAATATGAGCTTTATTAACCCCTTTCTTTTTTAGAACTCTCCATAGTACTAACACAATGTATTAAAGGATTTATGTCATGATTATTTGATAAGTTTTACGCTGACTATCAACTAGCTAACACAACTCTCCACTTTTATCATCCAAGACTTGGGACATGACAACAACAATATTTTTCAAGCATTATGTTAAAATACGTTTATTTTATTTAATTCATTAGTTTCATTTATTAGGTAAAAAAATGACAAATGTCAGATTTTAGTCAAACTTTAAGAAAGATTCATCATGGAAATATGCTATCTTGGCTAAATGATACCGGTTGTGTAACATGTATTTTTTGTGGTAAAATTATGAAAGGAAAAATTCTTCATTACTAGTAACATTTATTTGGGGTTATAGAAATGCTAAAGCTTGCGCCATCAACATGTGGAAGATGAGTTTCAGGAGTATATGAACAAGGTGTTGAAAGATTAATTTAATGAAATTCCACATATTTATATAGATGTAGTAGATGTTTTTGTTATAAAAAAAAAGAGTAGATGTTTTTGACAAGATGGATAGTGACATTTTATGATAGCTTTTCAGTAGTAGAGATATTCGGACAATTTGGCTTATCTCTTTTGTATTAGACCATCAAATAGATGCTGTGAATCAAAATCAAGTATTTCCAAGTCTAAATTTAATGATGATTTCTATTCTTAAAGAACCAAAGGTTGAAGTATCATTGAATACATTTTTAATTGAGGATCCTTTTGAAGTGGAGAATCAACAGAAAGGTAAAATGTGAAAAGAAATAGATATTGCTAGGAAGGAGATGAGGGAGAGTAGTTCAAGTGTTTTGTTGATGTATGTATGTTGCCGGCATTTCTTTAATGCAATTAAATATGATAGCTTTCCCACACCAGTGGAGGTATTTAGATGCTATTGTCTTTGAATGAAAACTCAAAGCTATGATGAGGTACGGTTTCATACTTGAAAAATAGATACAACGCAACAATTGCTGCAACATCATAAAGAAGATGGTCTTAAAAATGGTTATTCACTTATATTTGATGCTTGGATATCTCTTAACGGAATAAGTTTTAGTGACTTATTGGTTATTTTTCCAAGAGGAACTACATTTATTTGATTGATGCTAGCTTTTATTTAAATATATTTGAAATTCTAAGCAAGTATATTGAAGATATTGGACCAAATTGTGTCATTCAAGTGGTCATTATAATGCCTCATAGAATGTTCTAGCAGGTAAGTGACTGTTAGGGAATACTTGAGGGTATTCAAGTAAACTCTATCAAGAGAGAAGAAAACAACAAACGAACATGATTTAAATGGGAAATTTCAGCAAAACAGCACCTTTGGTTGAAGAAAATCAACTAGAATGAAGAAACAAAGCAAGATACAATTCATCCTCAATTCGAGAGGAGGATCTTCTCTCCCAATCCCTGGATGAAATCTAGTGCCCAAGACTCCAAGGCAAGAACTCCCAAAATCAGTAACAAAACAAACATAACTCTAACCCTAAACAACACATACTATTTAATACATTAATTCCCTAATTCAAATCGTAATTTAAATTTCCCTCCCATGCCTAGCCCCCCCACACCCCGCACCCCCCTCCCTCTCCTCTAATTGGCTCATAGTGGGGCCCAATTGTTTGGATGGCAACAACAACAAAAGAGATGACATTTGTCCGCCTCCGGTAAACGAGAGTCGACTGGGCCAATTCGGCCTGAACCAACCTAACAATACTGCATTCCCAAAGAACCACCTTTTTCTCAAGGTGAAAGGAGGGAAACTGATGCTTTACCCTCTCATAAGACTTAGGAGCCTCATAATCTTGAAGATCCTTCCACTTGATCAACACCCCCTCCCTCTCCCTGGCACACTCCTTGTAACTCGAAGGGTTCCAACATCACCTCCAAAGTCCTCTATTAATATCACTGGTAACTCAGAATTGATTGCATGCTCCCCAATCACCCTCCTTAGTTGTGAGACATGGAAAAAAGGGTGTATGTTTGCTGTTAAAGGCATCTTCTATACCACCAACCCTATGCCCTCCAGTACCTTAAAGAATACCCTCGATGGCTATTCCCTTCCTTCAACAAATCCGCTTTAATCCTTCCCAACTCCTCATCCCATGCAGTTTCCTCCTTTATGGCCTCCCATTCTAATACCAACCAGATCGAGCCTGCTATTTCCTGCAACTCCCCCATGCATCTGGACAATGCATTTGCTGCCTTGTTCTCCATTCTTGGCCTATACTGTATTTCAAGTTATACCCCAGTAGCTTGGAAAATCATCTTTGATGCTCTTTAATCACCATCCTCTGCTCCAGCAAGTACTTCAGACTCAGCTGATCTGTCCTGACAATGAAGAGCCTATCTAACAAGTATGGTCGCCACTTCTGGATGGCTAAAACAATGGCTATTAACTCCCTCTCATATAATGATTTCAGCCTGACTCTAGCTGTCAATCCTTGTTGAATTAAGCAATGGGTTGCCGGCCCTGTATGAGTACTGCTCCCAAACCATAACCTGAGGCATCTGTCTCCACTATGAAAACTTGGGTGAAATCTGGTAGGGCCAAAATCGGTACAGTGGTCATAGCCTTCTTTAAGCTCTCAAAGCAGCTGTGGCCACCTCTCCCCATAAGAATTCATCATTCTTCAATTGTTCTGTCAGTGGCCATGCTATGATGCTGTACCCATTCACAAACCTCTTGTAGTATCCTTTTAATCCCAGGAATCCTCTCAACTCCTTAAGATTTTTGGGCATTGACCACTTTATCATAGCCTCAAATTTAGCCTGATCCGCTGCCACCCCCTCTTTATAGACAATGTGCCCCAAGTATTCCACACCAGCCTAGGCAAAGCAACATTTCTTCAGATTTTTCCTCAGTTGGTGCTTCTGTAAATCCTCTAGCAACCTCCTCAAATGCTCCCAGTGACCCTTCTCTGTCCTGTTATAAATCAGGGTGTCGTCGAAAAACCCCAACACAAACCTCATGAGGTAAGGCCTGAAGACCTTGTTCATGAGGGACTAAAAGGTGGCTGGGGCTTTAGTGAGGCCAAATTGCATCACTAGGAACTCATAATACTCTTCATGAGTTCTAAAAGTAGTCTTTGGCATATCCTCTCTTTTCATCCTGACCTGGAGGTATCCTGACTTCAGATCTATCTTGGAGAACTGTACTAAAACGGAGTTTTAGTACAAATTTTTTTATTTTTGTCTAAAACTCTGTTTTAGAAAGCAATAAAAAAGCCGTCCCAAACGAAGCCTAAATCTGCCAAGTCCTAAGTGGTTTACTTCTACAATGCATATTTATGAGCCTTTTGGGCATTTGCTATTGTTTTATTTTAAGGGCTTGTGCTTGATGTATGAAGTGATTCTTTTTGAGAGATTTTTGGCTGGACAGGCTATCTACTTTTCAACGAGCATATTTGTATGTTGATTTTGCTTGTCCAGATTTCAGAACGCTACTGTGATTTGATTCCTGGTAAAGATGCGTAGTTATTTTTATTGCAAAGTTACATCTCAATTGTAAATTTGAGGGTTTCTTCAATATTCACGTTCTTTACTCGTTTTCAGATTGCTGGTTTGTCCATATATTTAAAAAATTTCATGATTTCACGTAATTTCATTTCACTTGTTTAATTTTGAGTGTCTTTTTTCCTTGTGTATGACTGTTTTTGTTGTCTTATCAAAATTTCTCGACTTTTTGAATTTTAATTTGAATGTGTTTGGATAATGATACTGCAAGAAGATTTAAAACAAAATGTTTTTTTTTTCTCTTTGTTGAAAAGCAGTATTTAGATCGTGAAGGAATAACCTTTTGCTGCCGGACAACTTACGATGAAAATGCAATCACTAATGCTGTGGAGATCTATGACAGTATGAGGTATTTCCTATCCTTCTGTCTTATGTATGGATGTTTTCTTTTAACATTTCTGAACGGCTGATACAGCTTTCAATTTTCCTAGTGGTGCTGTTCATTTCATGGCATCGAACAATGATTGTGTAGTTCGAGATTTTGATATGGAGAAGTTCCAGTTGTCCAAGCACTTCCGTTTTGATTGGCCGGTGAATGTAAGCTATGCTATTGTAGTGAAGTTGAAACTAGAGAATCTTATTGTCATAATCAGTTGCAATTATGCCATATAGAAAGAACCGCTATTATAGTCAATAAACATCTCCATTTAAGTGTGTATATATATATGTCATAAAATTCTAATATATTTAGATATCTAAGACTTAAATCCTTCCATTTACTTATATATCACTTTAATGTCTAGATCACATTAAAATATATGTTTGAAAGTATGCTTTACTTAAGTTAATATAAGTGGTATTATTAATATGATTTAGAAATTAAATATAAAGATTTAGGTGTTCGATATATAAATATATAAAAATTTTACGATAAGTACGGAATTCCCCATTCCTTTTTTGTCTGCTGAATTTTGTGTAGAGATGTTTAAAACCTACTGAGCAGCAATGAAATTAACATGAGGTTTTTCTTTAATTATAGCAATCATTCTATTCTGTTTTCAGCCGTGTACATTATCTTTGCTTTTTTGTTCTCTTCAAGTCTGAAAAGTTTGTGCATCTCTTTCTCACGACTTATCTGTATATTTTCTATTGTTTGTAGCATACAGCAATTAGTCCAAATGGAAAACTTATTGTCATTGTGGGAGATAGCGCTGAAGGATTGCTATTAGATGCTCAGACTGGGAAGGTAATTTCTATTCATATCTTTGTTGAATTTTAAAAAAATGCTGGATACAGTCATGACCATGCAAAGTGTGGTAGTATAGGCTTTCCACCTGATTCCAACCTATGCAACATGAGCTTGAGAATAAATTCCTTGATAATGTATGGCCTGATGTAGTATTGCTTTCTCAAAGAAATGGGCTCGGATAGTGAGTTGTCTGAGCTTGCCTAAGCAATATATATTATTGTGTTCAACGTCAACATAGAATCTTTATTATAAAAATGAGCTGAGTATTAACTTGTTTAAGTTTGTTGTTCATTTATTTTCAGAGAGGTTTCAAATCAATGTTGAGTCAAAATTTTAAATGTTATTGAAGATTTAATTTAATTTTATCATAGTCAATCCATAATCATGTTCTAATAAAGCCTAATCATAAATATATGAAATTTCAAATAACCTAAACATATAATCTTACCCATAATGTTCTTCTAATCAAGCCTAATTTAATATAGTGATATTTCAAATAACTAAAACATATAATCTTACTATCAAATGTAGAAATCAAAATGTTAGTGAAGAACCAAATTTACGTAAAATCAAGTCTTATTATTTCATCAAAATAAAATCCCTTATGACACAATTTTAAAGAAATGCTACGTGTAAGAAAATTGATTTGAGAGCATTAAATAAGGCATTAAGTAAGTTATTGCCCCATTTATTGAGAATTTTATCAAGCTCTTTGTGAGCGATTTCTTGTGGAAACAACCATGTTTACAAACGTAAATGAGGGGTAAAATATTCTATGCATGTTTATTTTTACTTCCAAAATCTTATTCTAAGAGGCTGTTTGGCTGCAAGTAGAATTTTGCCAATCCTGTAAATTTGGATGTACTAAATCCTGTGGGTTAAATGTTCTAAATTATTTGGTATGATAGCTACTAAATCCAATTGAATTCAGGTAAACTATTTGGCTATTTCTTTCAGGATTTAAAAATTTGTATATTTTTACTTTGCTTATATTAATTTTAATTAGTCTAAATAAATAATAATTATCCAATTAAACCTCTAAATTAATAATTAATTAGTGATTTATTAAGTTAATTGAATAAGAATTTATATTTTGATAAATTAAATAAAAAATAAAAATAATATCAATTAAGATAATAAATTATTACTTAATTAATATTAACTATTAATTGTTTGGTTAACAGTCAACACATGCACATATTAGTTAATATATGCGTCTAAATAAAATTTTGGAATATTGATAATTTTAATTAATAAAATTTAATATTCAAATTACTCAATAATTAATAGTTTATATGATCAATTATAATTTTTAATTGTTTGGTTAACAGTCAACACATGCACATATTAGTTAATATATGCGTCTAAATAAAATTTTGGAATATTGATAATTTTAATTAATAAAATTTAATATTCAAATTACTCAATAATTAATAGTTTATATGATCAATTATACATAATTAATTTTATTTGATCAAATTAAATCATTAGTAATATGAATTTATTTATTTATTTAATATTAAATTTTAAGATTAAAGATAACTTTTTCTATTTTTCTTGTTTGTAAGAAACACACGGATTTAAGTAAAATCTGGCGAGTCCATGGATTTATTAAATTCAGGATCAAAGGATAATGGGGACGAATTTAAGTTGTCCAGCCAGTTCCCAGATTTACTAATCTGGGATTCAAGGTACACTGGGGAAGAAACAAGATTTAAGATTTCGTAGGATTTAAAGTTGTTATTTTTGCTGTTTGGCAGAATTTAGGCTAAATCTGCTGCCAAACAGCCTCTAAGATTGTTCAATCATATGAATAAAAACTATATAAATGAGTTTTAAAATGAAGAAATATAAGTCTTGCACTAAGCGCGCTGGATATATTGACCCATAAACACTCGATTTTCTATCTTCCAGACCATCCAAGATCTTCATGGCCATGTGGACTACTCATTTGCGTCAGCATGGCACCCTGATGGTTCCATGTTTGCAACTGGCAATCAGGACAAGACTTGTCGGCTATGGGATGTGCGCAACCTCTCCAGCTCCGTCGCCGTTTTAAGAGGCAACCTCGGAGCCATACGATCGATCCGTTTTAGCTCTGATGGTCGGTTCATGGCCATAGCAGAGCCAGCAGATTTTGTTCATATTTTTGATGTTGGAAGTGATTATAGCAAACGGCAAGAACTTGATTTCTTTGGTGAAATATCTGGCATGTCATTTAGCCCTGACACTGAGTCTCTCTTTGTTGGTATATGGGATCGCACTTATGGCAGCCTCCTTCAGTATAACCGGCGACACAACTATTCCTATCTTGATTCCTTTTTTTGAGGTAAAATTTAGCTGCAGGGTCTTTGAAGCTTGCTGCTGTAGAATCATCTCAGACTTGGCTTGTTTTGCCTTAGAAAGCAGTGCAGATCATATGATATTAGTTCAGGCTTAGAGGTGGACGTGCCAATGATACTAGAAAATCATCTTTGTCTTCTCAATAATGTTGTAACCCTGCTGAAATGTATAAAGAAATGTTGTACAGTAGTTCTTAGAGAGTGCCCTCGAAGTAGAAATGAAATTTCATTGTAGATTGATCTGGGACTTCAGTGTTCTTGTAAACTTCTACAGTTTTTAGTTGCAGCATTTTCCAACTTTTTTGTTTCCTTTCTTTTCAATTGAACAGCAATTCCAAGAAGGTTTTCTGTTTTGCATCAATTCACTGTTGTGGGATGCATCAGTTGATATTAAAGCCAAATTCATTCTCTTCAGTCTATTTCCTCATATGTGTAATTTTGGTCTCGTTTATTTTGATTGTTTTTATTATGGTCGAAGAAGGTTTAAGAGTAACTTCACTTTCATTTGGATGGAGTGACGACTCAATATGGAGAGATGATCTAATGTGAGAAAGAAATTATTAAGATACTACGTAAGTGTATTAAGTTTATTCATTGAATGTCTAAAAAACATGTCAATATAAAAAATAATTAGGAATCATTTGATATCATTTTTTTATATTTTTTTCATTTTGATTTAAAATAGAATATTTTTGGTATATTTAAAATATGTTATTTTTATTTTTATTAAATATAAAATAATTTATATGGTAGTTTGGGGTTGGTCTGGGATGGCTGCTAGCTGTAAAGTATGATGATGGTTATTTTTTAAAAATATTCGAGATGTAAAAGTTATTTTGAGTGTTAAAAAATTTATTTATTTTAAAAATAAAAAATAAAATTATATTCTAAATAAATCTTTTTATTTAAATAAAAGAAAATACAACAAAAAATTATCTCAAAACTAGCCATAGTATAGTTTGCATCTATTTTATTAAGCTTGTGTTGAAAAATGAGCTTATTTATTGATGCACGTAATTAAATTTTTTATTATTTGTTTCTTTTAGTTTTTAAGCGTTTTGAAGGGGAAGGCTTGCTTTTTTGCAATTACTTTATGTATTATAGTGCAAGATGAATACTCTAAACAAAATAGATTAAGATAAGATTCAAACGTGGGGAGGATCTTGATGCTTGAATGTGTCATTTTGTAGTGGTGTATTTGGATGTATAAAAGGTTTTTGTTTTTGGGGGCTAGTTTATAATTGGTTTTGTTTTATTTTTGGGGCCACATGAAAGGGTTGAGGGTTGGGTATTTCTTTTAATAATTTTTGAAAGGTAATAAATTTTCATCACTAGTTACTAAAAATATTACATTAAAAAGTTGTTAAAAAGAACTTCTAACAAAGTAACAAATAAAATACATTGGGTTAAGATAACATGAAGTTAAGAGGTTACTATCTATCAAAGAGAAGAGACAAATCCATCTTTAGATATCGGCTAATTAATGAATGACAAAGTCATCAAGAGAGTTATTGTGTCTAACTTGAAATCTAATAAATCTACCCAAATGCAAATTAAAAAAATATTTAAAAAAAAATCCTATGCTTCTTTGAGAAAATACAAATTAAAATCTTTTATTCACTACTTTAGAAAGTTTTTTGGTAGAATAGCGTCTTCGAACAAAAAGCTTTAACAAACTAACATTTATATAAGAGCAATCATGGGTGGCATTCGGGAACACGATTTTAACGTCATAGGGAGAAAATTGAGTAAGAATAACTAGGGAACCTCAATATACTAATATATAACTTTCACATATATGACTCTTGAAGTATTAATAGGCTCAATAACCATAGTTGATGATATCGAAGATGGGAGAGCAAGGGGGATATTGCATCCTACATATACTCAGAAGAGGAGTATGCTATAGAGTATGAGAGAACTCTAGGGGAAGAAACAATAAAGAAGCATTTTTCATTAAGGTAGTAGGATCAATTTGATCATTAGTATTTACACACACAAACCTTGTATGTTCATACCTTGATCAAAAGAACTATTATGAAAAGTAAGTCCTTTAGAAAAAGATTTTCTCAAATCCAAATAAGTCATGAAGCAAATAACATAATCATGACAAAAAACATAATTAGACTAATAATATGTAGGTAAACCATTAAATTTCATTTTTTTGCCTATGATCATGTAAAGAAGTGCCATTGCATATTTCTCTTACCAATGGGTAAAAATATTTGAACAAGAGCATACAACACAGATGGTCAATATAGTTTAGAAATAACAAAATTCACTTATACGTATTTATTGTTATCATCGTGAATATAATATAGATTGCTTAATATGATGCTTATGAAATTGAAGGAAAATAAAAAATACATGTGGAGCAAGAGGCTCTTCAAAAGTGTCAAAGTTTTTTTATATTATAAACGATGAGAGAAAAATTTTGAGTAATCTACTTTCAAATATAGTTTGATAAGCACAAGGCTACAATTAAAAAGTTTGATAGAGACATCATAAATTACATTTAAATCATGTGATAATCTGAATACTATCTAGCTCTCATCATAAGAAAAAATGAGAGAGAGCATACTATGAATGATTGTGGGTGACTTATGCATAATAAACTATGAGTCACATTAAAAAATCATAATAAAACAAGTAAGCAAATCTAGCAATAAAGAACTTTTTGGCTAAAAAATATTACTGAAAGAAAACTATAAAGAACCCTTAACCTAAAAAAAAAAAACAAATTAATGAAAGAAAATGGGGGAGTAATATGCTTGGAAGGTGGAGCATCTATATCCTAATTATATCAAATAATAGGAACTTGTGGCCTAGCGTATAATGAGATTTTCATTCAATTTGATTGAACCTCAGACCAAAAACGAAGTCGAGTACGAAGTTTTAATAGTAGGGCTGGAGATTGTGATCGATGTTAGAATCAACATCTCAAAGTCTTCGGTGATTCTCAGCTTATGATAAATTAGGTCCTCAACATTTATAAGGTTGGCAAAGTTGAATTGGACCACTACCACAAGCGAACTCTCGAGCTTATAAAATAAGTGCCAAATGTTATAATTGTCCGAGTTCCTCGAGGTCAGAATGTTAAGATAGATTGCTTAGCCAAATTAGCCAAGGATGTGGCAAATTCTGACGAGGAGATGCATATACTAATTATGATTCACGACCATCGGATCTTAGAGCCAGCAATTTTGTAATTCCCGCAGGCAGAGGGAATACCGGATTCAAAAACCAGCAAGATAAAACCCCGATTGATCCTTAACCTCCCCCACAAGTAGCTCTTGAAAATTAACCAGAGGAATATCATGTAGTCAAGAAGCATAAAACTAGCAGATGCTTGGAGTTGTGGCTACATTACTTAGACATTAAGGGAAAAGATTTGGAGGCAACCTTCATCGACTATTTCAAGGAAATCAAACTCCCAAAGGATAAATCTCTAACTGCACAAATTTGAAAGAGGGCATTGCGATATACATTTGTCAATGACATATTGTACAGACGAGCTTTTGATCAAATGTGGCTAAGGTGCCTAGGGACCAATGAAGCTGATAAAGTGGTGATAGAAGTCCACGAAGAACTTTGTGGAGTACATCAGTCAGGTCCCAAGATGACCGCTAAAATCAAGAGAATGGGTTACTATTGGCCGACCATAGTTAGAGATTGTATCGAACACACAAAGAGGTGTAATGAGTGTCAAATCCATGATGATGTTATACATCAACCGCCAAATCCTCTGTACCCAACAGTAGCGTCCTGACCATTTGAATGCTAGGGTAAAGATACATAAAATTGCCACACATAAAATTGCACCGATAAATGGTCGATATTTAAAGAAGTACCACACATAAAATTGCCCAAGAAAATGTTGTGTTCAATATGTTATGTATTTTATAAATGTTTATTATCTCATATACATTTTATATTTTGAAATTCTCTTATATAGCAAGAATGCATTTCAAAATTCCCTATTAGACTGGGGGCATTTTAAATATTATTCGGTTGACATTGTATTGTGTTCCAAGATCCCTGAATAAATATTTAAAATCTCAAAAATATAAAGCCTATCCAAAATATCCCTACAAGATAAGGGGCATTTTAAATATTCATTTGGGTCGACATCATGTTAAACGCCGAGATCTAAAAATAAATATTTAAAATCTCAAAATCTCAAATTTATTCTACTTTGAAATGTCCCTGTGAGATAGGGGCATTTTAAATATTTATTTGGGTGGAAATCGCACTACATGCCGAGATCCATGAATAAATATTTAAAATTATCAATCAAAATATTCTTTCATGCTGAATAATACAATGATTTCTTTTTTAAAGTATATATAGGTGATCTTTTAAAAGATCGAGATAATACCTTCTCCAATAAACCAGGGTTCAAAAGTAAAGAAAGAGACTTTTGTGGTTACACACTCTAATAAATTGAGCTAGAAAAGCTTTGAAGTCTTTCGACAGCCTGAAGCTTAAGGTTCAAATAGGTGTAAAAGGCCAGATCTAACACACTCATATATGGCTGGATCACTAGCAGCTATGTCTACTCAACACGCCATAAGAATGGCCATAGTAGTGAAACCCCCACTTCGGCAACCCATCAATAGGGTTTATAGAAAGTATGAAGGCTAATTTGTCTCGACAAGTTCAAATATTTGTAGTCTACCAAATCCTCCTAATAGACCAGAGAATTAAAGTTTTAGTAGAAGGATGAGTCTCGAATAACCACCAAATACTCGTAGGTTTTAAATCTTCAATCACAAAGAATGACTCTAAATCTGCTGACTTCAGTAAAAAATCAGCATTGGGAAGCACAATTCCCATAACTCAATTCTAAAGCCTGAATGGGTGTAAAAGGTTAAATCCAACATGCCCAAATATGGCTAGATTGCTGGTAGCTCCATCTACTCAATAAGCCATAAGAAAGGCCGTAGTAGAGGAACTCCCATCTCAATAACCAGGGGATGAAGAGTTATCAAATTCTAGCTCTCCCGATCTGATGAACTCAAGTGACTTAGATTAAAGTCTCCTCAAGTGGTTAAGGATCAGGATACTACCCATGTTTGGTACTATCAACTAAGTCCAAAACATGAAAATTCTTCAACAAATCTGTAAAGCACAAAGTGATGATGGAAGGAATTATTCTTATATAAGTCCATCAAAGCACAAAGCAAATGACCGAAGAAAATATCCCAAAGTTCATGAAAAGATTATGGCTGAACTAAGAGGATTCTA